GGGGAAGGCGGCTCGCGCCTCACAAAAGGCAGCCCCCCCAGCGACGCGGCCCACCCGCCCTTCTCAGCCCCCCGCTTTGCTGTCCTCACCTCTGCCGCCGCTTGGCTTCGGCCTCGCGCTCCTTGGCCTCGAGCGACTCCTGCATGTCCCTCAGGGAGGGGAGCCAGGCTCTCTCCTCAGCTTCCATCTCCTGCAGCTTCTCCGGCGTCGGCCACAACTGTGCCGGATCGACCCCGGAGGCTTCCCCGTGGCGCCCGAACCGCTTGGCTTCGTAGGCGGCCGGCAGCTGCCATGCCGGAGTACGGGGATTGGCAGGATCCGGCCGATAAACTCCCTTCAGCTGTATCTTCAGCGGCCTGGCGTTATATAACCGGACGCCGCCGAGCAGTAGCCGGTTTCCGCGAGCCGCCATCTTGGAATGCACTTAGCAGCTGACCAGACCTATAAAGGCCGCCATCTTGGAGTTAGCCCCCCTCCCGTGGGTGGTGCCATCTTGGATGCGGCCTCATGGCCGCCGCCATTTTGAAGTTATTTCCTCGCCGCGGGCGCCTCCATCTTTGGAACGTTACGAATGTTCGTGGACGGTTGCTGGGAGGCGATGAAGCCATTTCGTCATAATCATAGAAACCGTAAAGTGGTGAACACACGGTTGACTTTGAATCCGATGTGATTTTTTTTTTTTTGGCACCATGTTTCTAAAAATTGCAGTGGGTCTTTACGCAAATGTTTTACGACACATCCATGCCTTCGTTAAACCGAGCATTAGGATTTGGGAAGGCTTTCAGAGGAGCGATGGCATCTTAACGAGATTTACCTATATGAGAATTTGCACAGAGGTAGTTTTTCTGGAATCTCCTGCTAAGCTTCCTCATTGCAGCGCGTTGCAGTAAAAACAACATAGGCTCTTGTTTGAGAAATTAATGCAAAATTTTCGGTTATCCTCTTATGCCGCTCTAAACTTGCTTGCATCTTGCAGGAACGTGTGTACTACTGATCCGCGAAGATCTGGCGTGTGATGTATTCCACCTATACTAAAAAACCTAGAGGTCTTGAAATTGCCCAGACTAGTGCAGTATGGTGTTAATTTTTAGTATATGGGATATTAGCGGAGTAACAGTGCAATCCGTTATAGACATTTATTCATCAGACTTTCTTTGTTTTCAGTCCTGCTTATTCTCATGGAAATGTCCTTAAAGCTGCAGGTGAACCCATTTCATTACAAGTTATCAAAAGTAGTTTAACCTCACCCCTTATTTTACCATCCCCATTTTGTAAGATGGGGATTTAACAGTTTAATATTAACTTACACTTGTGGATTGCTGACACAGTGAAAACAATGGATGTCTTCATTTTAGGACTATCAGTTGTGAAGACAGTTTGCCAAATGATTATGAAAAAATATAAGCAGAATGCCATAGAAATGGGAAATGAAGGCCTGGATGGGCAATGAAATGCAATACCATTCAGTAATAGAAAGTGGACCAAAGCTGAGAAAAAAAGCTGGAAATAGAAATCAGCAATAATGATGCATGTTTTAACATTACCAAAGGTAGCCAGAAATTGCAGTATGCATTTACATTACATTTTTAAGGATTCAGACTACATAGTTGAGATCAAACTGGAAACAGGTGGAAATTCAGTAAACATACTTTGTTTTTCAGCTCTTCTGTTGACATTGCTGGTCCTTTCTGCCCACATAATTTCAGTCACTTTAGTTGCAGAAGGAAAGTTGAACTTTTTTCAGTACCTAGGCTCTCTGCACCTATGTAAAGAACAGATAATTCTTTAGGAAACATTGACTTACAATTTTGTGGAGATTTCAGAATTAAATATAAAGAGGAGACAGTCCTCCCCCAATCCACTTAGCCCCCATTGTAATTCTAGAGAAAGCGTGTTTCAAAAAGAGGAAACTTGTGACTGTTTGTAGTCCAGAATTCAGAGCCCAAGGCTTAAGCCCCTTGGAGTCCATTTAATCAAAATGTAGGATATGGGTCAAGATCCGAGTTCAGATAGTTGTCACAAACAGTTGGGATGAATATCTCATACCCCTTCCTGAAATACCAGGTATGCTTTTGTTTTACCTCAATTAGAGATATGCATCTGACTTAGTTCTGCAGGTAGGTATTCTATCAAGCTGTGTGGCACAATGGGGAAAAAGAAAGGAGGGCCAACACTTAGCCCTCTTCAGAAGTCAGTTCTATCTGGTTTGGCCCCTCCACAAGAGTAACCTCGCACTCCTTCCACCAGGTTGTGGCAGAGAGAGTGACTAGGATACTTAAACATCAATACTGTACTGATATCTGAGTATTCTGGTTTTACTTTTCCCTCCACCTCTTTCGTTTTATGACATTAAAGGAAAGGGACTGTCTTTTTACTGACCTGTAAACCACACTGGGAGTAATTCCTACTAAAATGTGAAACATGAGTGCTTTAAATAAATCTTTCCATTCATCTGACTGTTAGTCTTTTGGGTCTACCAAAATCTTGAAATGGTGCAGTCAAAGTCTTTTAAACTAGCAGGACATTCATTCTCTCCCAATCTCAATTTCTCAATACTTTTGTAATTTTGAGTAACATATCGATTGCATCTTCCCAGGGGATTATCATCTTACTGTGGTGGGTAGGCTCAGTAACTTCAGTGATGGAGAGTGATGTTGACAAGTGGGTAAGAGGTGAAGAGTAATCCACAACAGGGTGTGGGCAGTCAACCTAGTTTAGAAGAAGGAATTCTTAAACCTGGAGGAAGAGAAGGGCAAAATATCAAAAATCTTGGAGTGCCAGGTGATGAGCTCCCCTAAGTTGGAAGATACTTCTCTAATTACTAGGGAAGAAATTTGAATACTCTAAATAGTTTTGAACAGTGATGAAACAACCAAGCCAAAGCTGCAAAGTGTAGTTGCTGAGGATACCAGTACTGAAAGACAAGTTTCTTGTTTTTCTAGGACACTTACAGTTAGACATGGAACATGAGAGGCATAAACCAAGGAAAATTTGACCTTATCAGTGGAAATGAACCATATGAAACTGGGTGTTTAAGAATAAATGAATTTAGGTAGACTGATTGCATCAGGGTATGAGATAGTTCAAAGGAATGAAGTGGCAGTGGTATTCAGAAAGGAAAAATTAGAGAAATAGAAGAGTCTGGAATCACAGGAAAACTTGGATTGAGTATTGTAAATGCAATAATGCAGAAGATAGGTTGATAGAATTCTGCGCAGAGAATTCTTTGCTCACTGCCAACATCAGTATCAAACATAACACAGCCTCTACACTTGACTATCATTAGATGGACATCATCTGAATAAAACTGACTATATAACAAATAAAATATGAGAAGTACAATTTGGTCAGCCAGGACATGTCCAAGTGCAGACTGTGTAACAAATAATGAATTATTTATATTAAATACATCAGTTTAGACAAACTGATGCATCAGAAAAAATTCACTTTCACTCCCCTAGCTTTGAGTTTGAGTTTTTTTTAAAAATTGTGAATGCACATTTATATTATTAATATCTATCTTCCTCCCCAATGTCTACTATTTCAAACCAATGCAATACTCTTGAGGATTATATTTTTGATCCAGGTGAGTTGCAGCTCAATGCTCTTATCATATTGGTAGATACTTTGAACGTGAGGCTTGGAGGAAGTAATAAGAAGTTAGTACAGTAGTAATTTGCCCTAGAATGAACCCATCAACTTTCTTTCTTGCCATTTCAAAGACTCAGGAACAACTTTAGGGGACTGGCAATTATGTCAAATGACAATTACCATATATACTCATGGATAAGCTGAGAATTTTAGGTGCCAAAATGCACCTAAAAAGTCGGTTTGGCTTAGTTGTGGATGGGCTTATTCACGAGTACATATGATAATACTTTTTAAAAGTAACCTTTATTTCCCATATATACTTGTGTATAAGCCCGTCCGTGAATAAGCCGACCCTCAAATTTTTAACCAAAATGCCATGAAAAATGTGGGCTGGCTTATCCACAGGTGGTGCTTTTTTCATAGTATTCTGGTTAAAAATGCGAGGGTCGGCTTATCTGTGGAGTACATACAGTACATTTGATCTATGTGGAATGGCTGTATAGAGGGATACTACAATGGAGAGTATCTATTGGAATGGGCACAAAGGCAGCACCATAGATTATTTTCTGACATTCCCAGCATTGTTACAAAATGTAATTTCTGTGTCAAACAATAATTTCACTGATAATGATCATCTCCCCCACTAATGAAATGTATTATTTAATCCACCATCAGAAATCTTATCCTTTGCCTAATTACCTGGAAAAGGATAGGAGAATAAGATGAAAACCTCCCACTTTTTCATTAAAAGAAAATTTAAAATATATATAATTTGTATCAAGCCTCACAATTAACATCATTCCATTTGTTAATGGGTGCCTTGCCACGGCCATGACTTCCAAACATTGACCATGTATCCAGGATACTATGATTAAAACCTTATTCCAGGACTGCCTGGCGAGGCACAACTCTAAGCCCTGGTTTGACTATGAATGTACAGATGCTAGGACAAAGATAATCAATAATTTCAGGACATACAGAAATAGTAATTCTGAGCTTCCTACATTCTACTGTATTAGAAGAAGAAAATATATATATATCCCTTTTAAAGTGAAAAAGCACAGGAGGCTGGAAGAAATTTGATGAAATCTTTAAAACAACATTCTGACACTTCGTGTCCCCTGCTTTTCTAAAACCTCCTTCCCTGTTCTCTGACTCAGTTTCCCCAGAGGAATGGACTGACTGTTTTAGAACTCAGTTTAGCAACAACTGATGCTTCAGATATGAATCAGATCCCTACCCAGAAAGCTTAGCAAGTTGGAGTCCAGTGCCCCATTCTATTTATTTTTTTATTATTGAGAAGAAGAAAAAAAAATACACATAGAAAGTGCTTTAACGGAAAAGGGGAAAAAATACAACAAAGAAAAAAACATGTTAATATATCATAACAATAAACAATTACAATTCTATATGTACAGTACTTACCTAATGCAAATATTCAAGTATGTATATATTTCTAATACATTTATATGACTATTATTTTTTTAACCTACTGTATTTTGTATAAATGAGTCCCATATTTCATTATACTTGTCCATACAAAGTCTAAGTTTATAGGCAATCTGCTCCTAAGTAGCAGGTGCAATCAAGTCTTCAATTCATTGAATAAATGGGGCCATACATTTTTCTTTCAAATGCAGCAATATCAGTCTTTTGGCCATAGTAAGGGCATGGAGAATCCATTTACATTGTCCCGATGTTGAATTCCATGTACCAGATATATAGTTCAAAAGAATATTATCCTCTGAAAATTTTAGCTTTTGTTGCACCATCATATTTATATAGTCCACTACTTTCTCCCAAAACTTAGTAAGTATAAGACATTGTAAAAACATATGCCCTTATTACATCTCCAACA